TAAAGGATTCTTACATACAATCATTAATTCTGAATCTAGAAAATAAGGATAGGAAGTATTTAGCATATGGATAGGATGGCATTATTTAACATAGTAACAATTTTTAATTACATATTCACACAGTGAACACAGCAATGTAACAGAAAGCCAGACATATAGATAGGTAGGTAGGTAGGTAGATAGATAGAGATATAGATATATAGATATAATTAAGAATCTGGTAAGTAAAAGAAGAAATCTAGTAAAGCTAATAAATGAATTTAGCAAAGACAGGATATAAAGTCAACTCACAAAAATCAGATGGGTTTTTATAAAGCAGCAACGAGCAATGTGAACAAAAATTTAAGGAAATAATTCCATTTATAATAGCATCTATAAAAATAAAATATGTAGGAATAAATTAAAACAGGAAAGTGAAAGACTTGAACACTGAGAACTATTAAATATTGCTGAAATTAAAATGACCTAAATAAATGGAAGGACATTAAACGTTCATGGGTTGGAAGATTTAATATTTTTCAGCTGTGAATACAACCCAAAGCAATTTATAGATTCAAGCCAATACCGATCAAAATTCCAACACCTTCTTTTCAGAAACAGGAAAACCATTCCTCACATTTATATAGAACAAGAAGGAGTCCTGAACAGCCAAAGCAACTTTGAAAAAGAAAAACAAAGTAGGAAGAATCCCACTTTCTGATTTCAACATACACTATAAAGCAAAAGTGACTACAACAGTCTGCTACTGGTATAATGACAGATACACTGACCTACAGAATAGAATTGAAGAATCCGAAAATAAACCCATACATCCATGGTCAACTGATTTTTTTACAAGGGTGCTAAGTCCATTTTTCATTCAGTGGGGAAAGAATACTCTCTTCAGTAAATGGTGCTGGAACAAATGGAATTCCACATACAAAAGACACATACCTCACACCATTTATGAAAAGTAACTCAAATGAAATCAACAACCTAACTGTGAGAACTAAAACCATAAAACTCTCAGAACAATAATACTTTGGGATCTAGATTTGACAATGGATTCTTAGATAACAACAAAAACATGAGCCAAAAAAAAAGATAAATTGGTTCATCAAATTAATCACTTTTGTGATGAATTTTTTGTGATTAATTTTGCATCAAAGGGCTTTATCAACAAAGTGAAAACTTACAGAAGAATGAGAGAAAATATTTTGGAACTATGTATCAGATAAGGGTTTATTATTCAAAATATATAAAGAACTCCTACAAGTTAACAACAAAAAGACAAACAACTCAGTCAAAAAATGAACAAAGGACTAGAAAAGGCATTTCATCAAAAAAGATACAAAAAGGCCAAGAAGCACATGAAGAGATGCTCAACATAATCAGGGAAATGCAAATCAAAACCACAGTGGGATACCACTTCATCCTCACTAGGATGCTATCATCAGAAAACAACAGGTGTTGGCAAGGATATGGAAAAATTGGAACCTTCATCCATTGTTGGAAGGAGTGTAAAATAGTACAAACACTACCAAAATAGTTTGGAGGTTCCTCAAAAAGCTAACCATATTATTACCATATGACCCAATATTTCCACTC